ATATTTCCAAGTGGAAAGCAACGGAGTACAGACTGTTTTTACTTTACTTGGTCCTATTATTTTGCAGCCAATTTTGGAAAAGAGGTATTATAATCATTTTCTTCTCCTTCATACTGCATGTAGAATCCTAAACTCAGATAATTTATTTCTAAAATATAATTCTCAAGCAAAAGTTTATTTGAACAATTTTGTTATGCTTACAAGACAATATTATAATACACAAAGTTTAGTTCTAAATATTCATAGTCTCACTCATCTAGCTGATGATGTCAAAGACATGAAATGTTCCCTAAGCAATTATACAGCCTTTCCATTTGAAAATCTGTTAGGAAAAATTTAAAAAATGCTTCAAAGTGGAAATCGACCACTTGTACAGCTCTGCCGACGGCTGCATGAATCATTTTATGCAGAGCCAAAAAAATGATGTTACCACATATTGTCACAATATTAAAAAAAGGTCTTCCTAAACCATGTGGACAAACTCCTGTCAAAAAGATTAAATACAAAGAAATTATATTGAGTAAGGAATCAAATAATACAGTATCTCTCATAAATAAAAAAATAATGAACATCGAAGAAATGTATACGATATACCGCAAAATGGAGGAGAAAAGGATATTACATTGATTGGAAATAAATTAAAAATTATGAAACCAATGTTCACATATCCCTGCAATTCGGGTAAACTTGATATATGGCAAGTAATTAAAACTGAAAAAAAAATTATATGTTCACTCCAATCCGTTGCTTGTGAAATGGTCACCCTACAAACTACAACTTATGAAAATATCGATGATGAAGATAGTGATGATGAAGAGAAGACACAAACCTTTGTTATGCCACTTCTACATATGTAACAGATGAGACAATAGGTTTGTTCACATTCACGCATATACTCAGCATCTTTGCTTTCTCTTTTCAACGCTCAACTAGATTTACCTTATAATTTATCTCATTTTAAATGTTAAAATTTTGGAAAATGTCAAGCATAACGGGAACACACACATATACCTATAATACGAATTATCTCTGGATCGTCTGAAAAGTTTTGGGCCTCATCATGAAGATGGCGTTACTCGTCAAAGCCATTCTGGTATTATAATCGTGATACTTACGAAAGATATCTGTGGCCACTTTGGATGTTCAGTTCTTGTTTGACAATCATTTGTGTCGTCATTTTGTAAAAATGGAAAAAATTGAATATCGTGCTATAATTAAATTCTTGCATTTGAAAGGCAATACGTCTACGCAAATTAAAGCCGAGTTGGACGCTGTTTATGGGGACTCTGCCCCATCATTTGTCACCGTGAAAAGATGGGTAGCTGAATTTAAACGTGGTCGTACCAGCTTAGCTGATGATGAGCGTTCGGGACGGCCAACGACTGCAACCACCACCGATAACATCGAAGAAATTCATCAAACGATAATGGACAACCGTCGAATTAATATTAGGGAGATAGCAGAGGCTCTTGGCATATCAAAAGAACGTGTTTCTCATATATTGACTGAAGAATTAGGCATGAGTAAGTTAACCGCGTGTTGGGTGCCGCGCTTGCTCACTCTGGATCAAAAACGCATTTGAATGAACATTTCTAAGGCCCTGTTGGAGTGGTTTAAGCGAAACGAGTCGGATTTTTTGCGTCGATTAATAACGGTTGATGAAACTTGGGTCCACCACTTCACTCCTGAAACGAAAGAACAATCAAAACAGTGAACTGCGAAGGATGAACCTGCTCCAAAGAAAGCGAAGACGGTTTTATCGGCGGGAAAGGTGATGACGACTGTTTTTTGGGACAGTCATGGAATTGTGTTGATCGACTATCTTGAAAAAGGTAAAACAATAACAGGGACGTACTACGCATCACTGCTTGACAACCTGAAGGCAGAAATTGAGAAAAAACGACCACATTTGAAAAAGAAGAAAGTGCTGTTCCATTAAGATAATGCACCGTCTCACACTTCGGCTGTCGTTATGGCAAAAATTCACGAATTGGGGTTCGAATTAATTGACCATTCACCGTATTCACCAGATCTGGCCCCCAGCGACTTTTTTCTATTTCCTAGGCTCAAAGTTTGACTCGGAGGACAGAAATTTTCATCGAACGAGGAGATCATCGCATCCTATTTTGCAAAGCAAGACGCTCAGTATTATTTAAATGGATTAAAGGGGTGGGAGCATCATTGGAAAAAATCTATCGACTTAAAAGGAGACTATGTGGAAAAATGGAATTGAATTTGATCGAAAAATTACTTGTTTCTATGTCAGGCTCAAAACTTTTCAGACGACCCTCGTATATCAAAATGATAGAGGATCAAAGTGAAATCAAGAAATGTATCTTGTGCGACGCGACAAACACTTAGATATCAATTAAATAAAAATTAAATAATAGTAAAAATAATAGTAAATAATAATAAATACTAATAATAAACAATAATAAAAAATAATAATAAATAACAATAACAATAAATTAAATAATAATAAAAATTATGTAATAATAATATAATTATATAATGCATATTATATATTAATATGTAATTATGTGATCATTTTAATATATGTGACCTTCTATTAATTTTCAACGCATTGGAAATGTAAATTTTTAAATAAAATTGTTTATTCGACTTTTATATTTACCCTAATCCTACGGTATCCAATTAATATCTTAAAAGTTTGTCGCGTCGCGCAAAATACATTTCTGTCACATTGTATACTTCGATTCTATATGATTATAACCGATCGTTACACGTATCAATAGATGCTAGATCGCGCTCTGAAAATTGTTGTGTGTTCTGCAAACCATCGAAAAAAAAGTGTTGCAACTTCAGTGTCCGCGACTGTACATCTCCATCTTTCTCGTGCTAATGGATTTATCATCGAGAACACGTGTGAATGCATTAAGTTAATAGCCGCAGCACACACTCTTGCATAACGCATAATACGTAGTGCATAATGGAATCAACCAATCGAAATTCTTCTTTTCCATGGAATGAGAGGAAAGGAAAGCTTCTGATTAGTTGATTCGCTTATGCACTATGCGTTATGTGTTAACTTGTGTGGGTTCTAAGGGCCATTCCACACAAACTTGCAGAGCCGCATAACCATATGCATAAAGCAAATTATCTAATCACATTTCTGTCATAAAGACAAACGTAAACTACAATTGGATGATTTTCTTTATGCATATGTTTATGCGACTATGCAAGTTTGTGTGGAATGGTCCTCAAGGCCGCAGCACACACTCTTGCTTAACGCATAATGTATAGTGCATAAAGGAATCAACCAATAAAAATTCTTCTTTTCCATGGAATGGGAGGAAAGGGAAGATTCTCAGATTCATAATAGGCCTTCTACAATAAGCCGCAAGTCAGAACGTCAGAAATCTTAACCAGTCTTAACCAAGTCGTTCAAGTTGGCTATTGGCCAAATTAAAGTAATGCGCTTTGAGATCCGGGCACGTAGCAGCACGTAGCGATTTCCCCTCTCCACTCGCTCTATCCTTCTTCGCTTTTATTGCTCTGTCCCTCTCGCCTTTATCAATGCGAGGACAGACCGAGTAGAGGGGGAAATCCATAGTCAGTTCTTATTTCAAGATCGTCTTAAGTAATGTTTTAAGACGCTAATACGGCCCTCTGATTGGTTCGTGACTTCTTAAGACTGTACTTAAGATTGTCTTGAATATAAGATCTGACTATGGATACCGGCCATAGAGAATGAACTGCTCGATCGTGGTATATTAAATGTGGTCGAGAAAAATGAGAGAGAGGGACCGTGGGAGACGGCCAATCTCCCTCTCATTCTCTCTCCCATTACATTGAATGAAAAGAGATAGAAATGGCCGTCTTCCACGGTCTCTCTCTCTCTCATCTCTATCGACCATTTTGACACACGATCGAAGGTGCGTTCCACTTAACGCCCGCGACGTTCATGGAATCACTTTATCCTTGTTGTTTATCAAATATTAAACAACGACAAACGATGCTTGCGAGCGTTGCGAGCGTTAAGTGGAACGCAGCCCGAGCAGTCCATTCTCTATTAGCGTTTTCCACTGAGAAAACTGGTGCAGCACTAGCGTGCTAGGTTTAGATGAAAACTGCACTAGTGCAGGTTTAGTGCGGTTCAATGGAACATGTTATTAGACATCCATTTTATTGACATTCATTTTATAACACCCCTAAAAATATATATAACTATATTCGAACTTAAATTACTTATTTTATAATATTCTGATTCATTTATTTATTTGAAACATTTTTTTAAATTAAATTTTTACATTTAAAGAATTTTAAATATCAAAATGTCATCGCATAGCTATTATTAGAAACATTGAAACTAAACAATGTCATTGTTATAACATTAATTACAATAATGTAATATCATATCATAACATATCATACCTTAGCACGAACACAACCTCAATTTCAACTTACACTGGTCTCCACTGACTTCAAAGACAGTGGAGCAAAAGTTGAACTCAGTGCAAGTTTTTTGCACCAGTTTTATCAATGGAACATTAAACACTGAACTAGTTTTCACAGTGGAACAACACAATTGCACTCAGTGCGCACCAGTGTTGCACCAGTTTTCCCAGTGGAAAACGCTATATCTCTGGCCGGGATCTGTGTCTGCATGCATCTTTTGTCTGCATTGTGGCTTCAGCAATAAACTCTATCAAACGGTATATATGTATATTTCTACTTTTTATGATCTCACTTCTCATATGTTATTACGATTTTGACCTGTCCTGTAATTTCCATATTAATAGCGTTTTTCATTGGGCCGAACTGAGTACGCAATGAGAACTCGTGAAGTGCGAGACGGTACTGCCCAAGAGCATCACTAGTGCAAGTTATTTGCACAGTCATTGAAACACGTTTGCGGCTTGGCGAGTGGACGATATCATCACATTTCTAACCTGTTTTCGACAAAACATCTCAAGTTGTTTTTCGAAATGAATACTTCGGATAATTCTTTTTTTTATATTATATATTATATATTAATAAAATTCAAAATAAACACGAATAATTTGGAGTTAGCATTTCAAGATGGTGAAGCGAAGAACTATACGAAAAATTATTGAGTAAGTCTACATTCTATCGATTCTGTCAATCTCAAATAATTATAGAAAAAATTTGATGTAAAAACTGTTTTTCTTTTGTGAAACATGCAACGAACGTAAAATATATTTATATGTGTGTTCAAACGCATCAGATATTAAAATACACACACACACACATATACACGTATCGTGTCCGAGTGTGTCAATTTGTGTAAATTTTTTCTTTATAAACAGAACAGAAAAACAGCTAATAAGAATTGTTTACGTTACATATAACAATAATTGTACGTAATATGATAATTGATACATAAAGTGATGTCCTTATTCTCTTGTTTCAGATGATGATTCGTATGCCATTCAATATGTGAAACTAATAATCCAAAATGGATTGTATGTAATAACCGATGGCGGCAAGGAGAACTTATTAAGGGAAATATATCGGCTGCAAGGAGATAGGTAATGTTATTGAGAAATTTAATTTTCACTTGTTTAATTTAGCCGAGAATGATTTAACTGTTAACAGAATGACGATAAAAAAATATCCAGCAAGGAAAGATGTTCATCTTTTATATACTTTTACACACAATCATATATATTTTTTTATTATTTAGGGAAACATTGATATACAACGTAAACATTAATGAAAATCAGAACCTTTGAAATGAATAGTATATCGACAAAGAAAATGAATCTTTAACTTCAGCACTATTCGAAGAAAGTAACAATCCGAAATATGCAGGTAAATATATTTCAATAATGTACTGATACATATTATACGAGGGTCACTATTTATATTTTGAGCTTAATAATAAAAATAATAATAAAAAAACAATAATTAATACTATAATGTAACTGCCTATTACGGTCCGAGCTGGATCTTTGTTGCTTTAAATAATTCAATCTTGAATTACTAATATATCCTATATATGTACTTGCATATATACCATATTGTAGTCT